TCGGGCAGCATCTCCATGTCAACGCAGGCGTGGGCGCGCTGCTCTCAGCTAAAACATCAAACCGAGGGCCAAAGTTCAAGAGCGTCCTGATCGACGATCTTGTGCTGCTGAACTTGATAGGGTGCGGCTTTGGCCCCCTCCCCCCAACGTCGGCGTTGCGACCAGGACGGCTGCGTGAGCTGACCCAGAGGCTCATGTGCCCCATTGGCCTTGTCGGCATCGGCGACTCGCCGTGCGCCCGTGGGTGGCCGCGAGGGGTTGGGGCCACCAAGTCAATGCGTCGCTATGTCCAGATGGTCGTGGCCGCCCTGTTCTTCGCCCACATGCCGCCTGCGGCAGGCAACGAGTCCTGCAGCTTGCTCAACTCGCCCCAGATGTATGGGGTGATGGGTGACTGCGTCGCCATCGCGCCCTGGAAGCACTGCGTATATCAACGCGTGGCAATGGCGGCAAGGTTGGGGCAGGTTGAGAGCTCTCTGTCTTTCGGGCGACTCTGTGAGGCCGCGCGGCAGAGGCGCGCCGCTGCGCCCCGACGCCCCTGGCCGCCCTTTGGCCAGCGTTTCCTTGCAATATTCCCGCATGGGGTGCTTTGGGACACGATCATCGGATATCACGTGGGCACAGCGGTCTTGAAAGTAGAAGGAAGTGATATGCAGCTTTCCCGCCCTTCCCCCCCGCCCTCGGGAGCAGCTTTTAAACGGGATTGAGAGCTACCTGCCTATGCGGATTTGTGAGACCGCGCGGCAGAGACACGCCGCTGCGCCCCGAACGCCCCTTGCCGCCCTTTGGCCAGCTTTTTCCTCGCAAGCTTTATACGCGGGGTGCTTTGGTAATCGAACGTTGGAGATCATTGTGATGAATGATGCTGCTGGTTGTTGTGATGGTGATGATGGGATGGGTGACGATGGTCGCGAGGAGGAAGAGAGGGCGGAGGAGGAGGACATTGAAGAGCAAGAGGAGGAAGAGGAGGGGGATGACGAGGAGGAGGAGGAGTTGGACAACACTAAGAATTGAAGTTGGAAGATCGTATGTGCAATATTGCGAATAACAAATAGCACGTACTGAATTACTAAGAAGTACAACAACAATAATGGTGCTACTATTTAAACTACTACTAGTAATCACAACGCGACACGCAATAACAACTCTACAACGGATGCTAATACTTTTGATCGTACTAATCTTTGTATGAATGATAATCGTAATACGAATGCAAGTAACTTTGCTACGTGTAAGATTACGCAGAAAAAAGGCTACTACGACTAATACTATAATGGTGCTATTCATAAACATGGCAATACTAATCTTAAGGAAGGGGATGCGGAGGAGGAGCCGGGAACAAAGGATGCATAGGAGGCCGCATGAGACCTCTTTATGTTCAGCATCGGCGTCACGCGTCTAAAGCCTTGCAGCCTCGCGCGAGGTTGAAAACTTTTCAGCCTCGCGCGAGGCAGAGAAGGATGATGATGATGATGATGATGATGATGAAGATGATGGCGATGGTGAGGGAGAGGAAAATGAGGAGGAGGAGGGGGAGGGGGCGGGGGAAGAGGAGGAGGAGGAGGAGGAGGAGGAAAAGGAGGAGGGTGTGGACTAATAGTAGTAATACGAAGAAGGGTGATCAGTCTATTTTACTATTATTAATACTGGTACGAAAAACGCATTACAAATAATAGTAACACATTACGAAGCAACACAACCACACTATACGAATAACAGCAGAACCACGAATAAGCATAGGCATAATACGAAGAAGCGTGCGAATGATCATACGAAGGGGAGGAGGGGGAGGAGTTGGAGGATGAGGGCGGCGAGGAGGAGGAGGAGGAAATACGGCCGAGGAAGGACACTTTTGCCAGATGGGCCTCTCACGCAGTCTTCCCGCGGCATATTCTGCGGGTCGCCTCACGCTTGCGTTTGCTGTGTTCGTTCTCGGGCAGAGTGTTGTTCTTCTGTCGCTACAGTCCCACCAGACCGAAGTCTCAAGCTTCAGAACATGAGAGTCATGTTATGAGGAGGAGGAGGAGGATGGGGGAGGAGGAGGAGGAGGAGGAGGAGGAGGAGGAGGAGGAGGAGGAGGAGGAGGAGGATGAGGAGGAGGATGAGGAGGAGGAGGAGGAGGGATGAGGAGGAGGAGGAGGAGGAGGAGGACGAGGAGGAGGAGGAGGAGGGAGGAGGAGGACGAGGAGGAGGAGGAGGAGAAGGAACAAAAAGAGTGGCAAAAAGAGGAGGAGGAGGAACAGGAGGAGGATGATAAGGAGGAGGACGAGGTGGAGGAGGACGAGGAAGAGGAGGAGGGGCAGGAGGAGGAGGATGATGGGAAAAGGATGAGGAGACGGAAAGGCAGGAGGAGGAGGAGGAGGAGAACGAGCAGGAGGAGGAGGAGGAGGAGGAGGAGGAGGATGAGGAGGACGAGGAGGAGAAGGAGGAGGAGGCTGAGGAACAGGAGGAGGAGGAGAACAAGGACGAGGATGAGGAGAAGGGATAAGAGGAGGAGGATCAGATGATGAGGATGATGATGATGATGATGATGATGATGATGATGATGATGATGATGATGATGATGATGATGATGATGATGATGCTGATGATGATGATGATGATGATGATGAGGATGGGGATGATGATGATGATGATGCTGATGATGATGATGATGCTGATGATGACGATGACGATGATGGTGATGATGATGTTGCTGATGCTGATGCTGATGATGATGGTGATGATGATGATGCTGCTGATGATGATGATGATGATGATGATGATGATGATGATGCTGATGATGATGATGCTGCTGATGATGATGATGATGATGTTGTTGATGCTGGTGATGATGATGATGAGGAGGAGGACGAGGAACAGGAGGAGGAGGAAACGGAGGAGGACGACGACGCATAAGAAAACACTTAATAAGTTTAACAATTTTCATACGAATCGGAAATAATACTAAAAACTAATACTACTAAGAATAATAATCATACGCGTGATACGAATACTAGGAAAACTGAGAATACGCAGAATAATAATATTACGAATAGTAATAATCATTATCATATGCTTCATATTTTGATTATCAGTAATTACCCTGGCGACGTACCCAACCCCTGCGCAAAAGCGGGGCGCAAATAGTTTAGGATACTTTATAAGGGGGCGATGACGGAGCGAGGGTTACATATGTCTGCAGATGGAATTCGGGAGACTCGCAGGACACTGGCTACAGGAAAAGGGCTTGATAAAGCTGATGATTTACAAGTCCTGAGCACTCCTAGCCACTTCGAAAACGGGGATCACAGCAGGCCTCGAAAGTGGCGACAGGTTCACAGATCGCAGCCCCGCAGGGATGGCGAGGTCTCATTTGAATCTGCCCGTGGCCCTCACTGTGCTGGGCCCCCCAGCAGGCCTCGAAAATGGCGACAGTTTCGCAGATCGCAGCCCCCCAGGGATGGCGAGGTCTAATTTGAATCCGCGCGTGGCCCTCACTGTGCTGGGCCCCCCAGCAGGCCTCGAAAATGGCGACAGTTTCGCAGATCGCAGCCCCCCAGGGATGGCGAGGTCTAATTTGAATCCGCGCGTGGCCCTCACTGTGCTGGGCCCCCCAGCAGGCCTCGAAAATGGCGACAGTTTCGCAGATCGCAGCCCCCCAGGGATGGCGAGGTCTAATTTGAATCCGCGCGTGGCCCTCACTGTGCTGGGCCCCCCAGCAGGCCTCGAAAATGGCGACAGTTTCGCAGATCGCAGCCCCCCAGGGATGGCGAGGTCTAATTTGAATCCGCGCGTGGCCCTCACTGTGCTGGGCCCCCCAGCAGGCCTCGAAAATGGCGACAGTTTCGCAGATCGCAGCCCCCCAGGGATGGCGAGGTCTAATTTGAATCCGCGCGTGGCCCTCACTGTGCTGGGCCCCCCAGCAGGCCTCGAAAATGGCGACAGTTTCGCAGATCGCAGCCCCCCAGGGATGGCGAGGTCTAATTTGAATCCGCGCGTGGCCCTCACTGTGCTGGGCCCCCCAGCAGGCCTCGAAAATGGCGACAGTTTCGCAGATCGCAGCCCCCCAGGGATGGCGAGGTCTAATTTGAATCCGCGCGTGGCCCTCACTGTGCTGGGCCCCCCAGCAGGCCTCGAAAATGGCGACAGTTTCGCAGATCGCAGCCCCCCAGGGATGGCGAGGTCTAATTTGAATCCGCGCGTGGCCCTCACTGTGCTGGGCCCCCCAGCAGGCCTCGAAAATGGCGACAGTTTCGCAGATCGCAGCCCCCCAGGGATGGCGAGGTCTAATTTGAATCCGCGCGTGGCCCTCACTGTGCTGGGCCCCCCAGCAGGCCTCGAAAATGGCGACAGTTTCGCAGATCGCAGCCCCCCAGGGATGGCGAGGTCTAATTTGAATCCGCGCGTGGCCCTCACTGTGCTGGGCCCCCCAGCAGGCCTCGAAAATGGCGACAGTTTCGCAGATCGCAGCCCCCCAGGGATGGCGAGGTCTAATTTGAATCCGCCCGTGGCCCTCACTGTGCTGGCCCCCCAGCAGGGCTCGAAAATGGCGACAGTTTCACAGATCGCAGCCCCCCAGGGATGGCGAGGTCTAATTTGGATCCGCCCGTGGCCCTCACTGTGCTGGGCCCCCCAGCAGGCCTCGAAAATGGCGACAGTTTCACAGATCGCAGCCCCCCGCGGGCAAGACAGGAAGAGGCGGGAGGGGAAAAGGAGGAAGGGCGGGAGAAGGGACGCGACCACACTGCTCTATTCAAAACGAATACCCAACCAAGGAGGGTTGGGAATAACAGGGCCTAATCATACTAGTAATACTACTAAGGGTAACCATCATATTAATACTAGCAATAGTGATATTACTAAAACTATCGATGCTGGTAATACTGTTTATAGTTTTAATACAATCACCATTCACATTAAAGAGTAATAAAACCAGCACTAAGAATAATAATAACAAGAAGAAAAGGAGGAGGAGGAGGAGGAACCTCGTTCCCACCCTGTTCCCCTCCCCCTCCCAGGGCGGCTGCAGGGAACTTGCGGCTCCATGTCCTACGACGGAAGGTCGGGGGTGGGCGGGGGGGGGGAGGAGGGGAGGTAGGGAGGGAGAAATGGATGGATGGAGGGGACGAGGGAGACGGAGGAGAAGTTGTGGCCGCAAGGTGGCTCAGGTTTCCTGGGATGCCACGTTCTTGATCTTTGGCGGTGTGTCAACTCACCGTCGCGGCGGCGGGGTGCGGGCGAGCGGCGCACGGTACGCGCGATCATTGCCGCATCAATGGCGCTGCAGGGCCGACGAGTAATGATGGCCCGTCACCTCGCTGTCGTCGTCCAGCCCTCAACCGCTCCTCACCTCAGGGACAACGTGAGAGTGGGGCAGTTTCAGGGGGAGATGCATTGGCTCCGAATCGCCCCTTCATCGCCGATATGGGCCTGGTAGCCTACCTAGCCCCGCCCACGACCATGCGGTTTCGCTATCGGGGGCCTATCGCCGGTCTATCGGGGAGGTATCGCCGATTCTGGGTCGATGTTTGCTCTGCGGTCTGGGGGCCCGAGCGACCCGCCGCTGCCGCCGATGGCGTGGACAAGTGCCGCGAGCCTTCCCATCGACTGCACGCTTTCTCCCCAGAGCAGTTTCCCTGAGGGACCGCAAGTGTTCCCACCCCGGGCGGCCGAGATCGGGGAAGGTCCGCGGGACCGAGTAGTGCGACTCCTCCTCCTCCTCCTCCTCCTCCTCCTCCTCCTCCTCCTCGCTCCAATTGCCTGGCTATGCGGGGACAGACGTGGGGAGGTGCTAGGCCCGTGGGCCTTGAGGGCGACCGCACGGTTGTGGGCCCTCCTCCTCCTCCTCCTCCTCCTCCTCCTCCTCCTCCTCCTCCTCCCCTCCTCCTCTCCTCCTCCTCCTCCTCCTCCTCCTCCTTCCTCCTCCTCCCGCCTTCTCCTTCCTCCTCCCTCCCCCTCCTCCTCCTCCTCCTCCTTCCTCCTCCCTCCTCCTCCTCCTCCCCCTCCTCCTCCTCCCTCCTCCTCCTCCTTTCCATTCTCCTCCTCCTCCTGCTCCTCCTCCTCCCCCATCCCTCCTCCTCCTCCTCCTCCTCCTCCTCTCCCTCCTCCCACGGGCGCTCCTCCTCCTCCTCCTCCTCCTCCTCCTTCTCCCCTCTTCCTTATTAATCACTCCGCGCCGTCGCACTCCCAGGCGTGTCCGTATGGCGGGCCAGGTGTTTCGCCTGGGACCTCCTTTGCATTTGTGATCCTGAAGCTTGGAATGTGCAACGGTTGCACGGGTAGAGGGCAAGCAATTTTTACAATGTGGCTTTCCCCTTGGCGCCGCGCGCATTCCCTTGGAAAGCTAGAAACAGGTTCAAGGATTCCAAGGCGGGTCGTTTTCAAAATGTCGCTCTCGCCTTAGCCCGACGCGCATTAGCTTTACAAGCTTGAATCGTTTTCACGGAAGGAGAGCGTTCTTTTCAAAACTTGGCTCTCATGTCAGCTCCGCGCGCATTCATGTTAAAAGTTTGCAAATGTTTGAAAGGATTCGTGTAGCCGAAGTTGCAGAGGTACAGTATTGATCTGGCACGCTTTCGATGGTCAGGATCTGACAGTCACGTTTGTTCGCGGCTGTGAGGTCCCAGGAACAGCGTTCTGGCACGTTTTCGGATTGTCACGACGCAGCATTTTCGTTGATACGTGTCGCTGGAGCCCCAAGAACTGTGTTTTGGCACGTTTGCGGTTTCTCATATGTTCGTCGTATAATGGGCCACGAGGAAAGAGGAGGAGTAGGTGGATGAGGAGGGTTCGAGGAGGAGGAGGAGAAGGAGGATGAGGATATCGTTAATATTATGAACAACAAGATTACTAGGACAAATCAAATACTACGAATACGAATAATACCACTACAAATATTGATACGATGATTAATACGAAGGATAGTGGCCATATCGCCAAATACCAATAATAATGCGAATGCTATCAATATTATTGATACTCATACGAATATGCAAAAGGCGATTCAGATGTATACTTTTAATACCAACAAGAGTAATACTCATAATCCGAATAACAAAATATTAGTAATCATTCTATCGCAATATTATACTTGATAGTCGTAGTAAACCTAATGCTAATAATAATAAGAAGAGGAGGAGGAGAAAGAGGAGGAGGAGGGCTAGGTAGGGTCGACGATGAGGAGGACCACGGAAGAGGATCTCGGAGGAGGAGCCACCCCCGCGGCAGGTCCGGCGGCGGGGGCTACGGGCCCGTGCCGAGCCCGCACGGCGGCTACGACGGCGGCGGCGGGCCGCCCGGCGCCTACGACGCCGGCGGCTACGGCAGCTACCCGCCGACGCAGGCCGCAGAGTTAGACAGTCGAGGGGGTCGAGGAGGCATTGAGGAGGATAAAGGAGGTTTCGAGGAGGGCTGAGGAGGATCGGGGAGGGTCGGGGAGGGTCGTGAAGGAGGAGGAGGAGGAGAGAGGTAGGAGGAGGAGGAGGAGGCTCGGAGGAGGAGGAGGGAGGAGGAGGAGGAGGAGGAGGACGTGGAGAAGGAGGAGATGGAGGAGGAGGAGGAGGAGGAGGAGGAGGAGGAAGAGGGGAGGAGGAGGAGGAGGAGGAGGAGGAGGAGGAGGACGAGGGAGGAGGATGAGGACGATGACAAGGACGACGATGAGGATGCGGATTTTGATGAAATTGTTGATGATGATGCGGTTGTTGATGATGTTGATGACGATTGCGATGATCATGATCCTGATCATGATTATGCTCATGAGCATGCGGATGACAATAAAGACGATGATGATGACTATGACGATGACGATGATGATGCTGATGATGTTGATGATGATGATGATGATGGTGATGATGCTGATTCTGGTGATGATTATGGTGATTATGGCGATGACGATGCTGATGATGATGACGATGATGATGATGACGACGACGGTGATGATGATGAAGATGATGGCTCTGATGATGATGCTGATGTTGATTTGTGATGATATTGATGGTGACGATGATGACGACGATGATTATGATGATGGCGGTGGTGGTGGCGGTGATGTATGATGTTTAGGATACTGATGCTGATTGCGCTGGTACTGATGATCCCAATGATGCTGCTACTGATGATGATGATGATGATGATGATGATGATGATGATGATGATGATGATCCTGATGATGATGACGATGATGATGATGCTGATGATGATGATGATCACGGTGGTGGTGAGTTGGAGGATGAGGAAGAGGGTTATGCTGAAAGTGGTTGATGATGATGATTCTGATGATGACTATGACGATGACGATGACGATGACGATGACGATGACGATGACGATGATGATGATAATGATGATGATGATGATGATGATGATGATGATGATGATGATGATGATGATGATGATGATGATGATGATGATGATGATGATGATGATGATGATGATGATGCAGTTGCTGCTGCTACTTCTGATGATGATGACGATGATAATGATGATATTGTTGATGTGTAGATGGCGACGACGATGACGACGACGATGACGACGACGACGCTGCTGCTGCTGATGATGCTAATGATGATGGTTATGATGACGACGACGATGATTGTTAGCAATCTGAGAAAAGAGCGCGTTCTGTGGACGCTGGGAAGGGGGGTCGAACCGGGGGGGCCCCCCGTGAGATGCAAGGGGGGCGGGTTAACCGGGGGGGCCCCTTCCCTCAAGGGGGGGGGGTCGAACTGGGGGCCCCCCCCCCCGAGTTGCAAAGGGGGGGGGTTCGATCCGGAGGGGGGCCTCCCTCTGTCGTAGGTGGGAAGGGGGTTCGAACCGGAGACGCCGCCCCCTCCGGGCTGCAAGGGTGGGATAGGGGTTCGAGCCGGGGAGGTGCCCCTTGCCTGTCCAAAAAGGGGGGGAGGGGCGGGTTAGAACCAGGGGTGGCCCCCCCCCTCCGTCCAACGGGAGGGGCCCCCCCGCCCCCTCGAGTTGCAGGAGGGTGTTCGAACCCGGGCTGGGCCCCCCCCCCGGAGTTGCAGGGTGGGGGGGTTCGAACCGGGAGGGGCCCCCCCTTGCAACCGGGGTGACGGCGAGCGCCGCCGCCGGCGCCGGCGCCGTTGGGCAGCGACGACGAGGGGGGTCCCCCCCCTGCAACCGACGACGGCGAGCGACGGCGCCGGCGCTGGCGCCGTCGGGCAGCGACGACGGCGATAACGACGACGACAACGACGACCACGATGACGACGACGACGACGGCGGCGCCGTTGGGCAGCGACGACGACGACGACGACGATGACGCCGGCGCGGGTGGGCAGCGACGACGACGACGACGACGACGACGACGGCGACTGCGACGACGACGGCGACGGCGACTGCGACGACGACGACGACGACGACGACGATGACGGCGACTGCGACGACGACGACGGCGACGGCGACGGCGACGGCGACGGCAACGGCGACGGCGACGGTGGCGTTGACGGCGGTGGCGGCGACGGCGACCGCGACGGCGGCGGTGACGGCGCCGACGACGGCGGCGGCGGTGACGGCGACGACGATGACGACGACGACCACGACGATGGCGGCGGCGGCGACGGCGACCGCGACGGCGATGGTGACGGCGACGGCGACGGCGACGGCGACGACGACGGCGGCGGCGGCAACGGCCGCGGCGACGCCAACGGTGACTGCGACGGCGATGTCGACGGCGTTACTGGCCAGGTAGAATGGGGCATTGGCCTCGATGGGTCCGCTCTCGACCCCAAGCTTCCTTTGCAACTTCACAAGTTCTGGTTCGTCTGCGGTGGCGGTCGACCATGGAGGCGACCTCTTAGGCAGTATGTATGGCCCCGTCCCCCACCCCAAACAGTCGAACATGGGGGGTGAAGGGGGGGGCAGCTGTAGGCCTTGCATATGGCTGTGTCTCATGCTGGGGCGGGTGCCCTAGAAGTGCGGACGGACTGTGCGGTGCATGCGGATATCTGGAGCCCTGGACCTGACCAAGACCTCTCGGGGCTGGCCTTCTCTAAAGCTTGGTCTTAGGTGATGGCCACAGCCCTCGAGGCAGGTGGTGAGCACATCAGTCTCTGCAGGACAGGGTCACACTTGTCATGGAATCAGGCTCTTGCGCAGGGATGCCCCTTTTATGCTGGGTACGGTAACATGACTGCCGACCACCTTGCGCGTGACGGGACCCAACTGCAGGAGCAACCTGGCGCATTTCCGAGCTGGTACGACACAGCCAGGAAAGGGGTTGACCAGGTAGGGAAGTTCATAGGCCTAACCTTGGGGGAGGCGTGAGTGTTGCAAGGCCAAGGTCAAGCCCAACCCTGCCAGCCAGGACCCCCCCCCAGCTCGAATCAGTTGCGAACCCCAATGAACACATGGCCTGTTGAGAAGAAGGTAAGGCTTTCTTCTGTGAAGTTTGTGAGGGGCGTGCGAAGTCCAGATGGGCTGTCGTCGCCTTCCCATGTCCAGGTTCTCTGGATCTCAGCGACGGCACACCCCGCCCATCTGCTCTGGATGGGCTCTGGGGCTGATGAGAGGGTTGTCTGGTGTCGGCGGTGTGCTGCGTTTGGGGTCAGCCGATCTCGTGTCTTGAAGGAGCTGCGCCATGGCCACCCTCGTAACGATGCGATTTAAGTATCTGTCTTTGCTCCGCGCGGGCAAAGGTCCCAGTTCGAGAGTCGTAGTTTGGGCGCAGCATTCGAGTGCGTATCGGGAGGTCGTGCAGTGTCTCTCGTGTTTTTGTTCGGTCTTTTGCTCTCTGATGCGGAAGACTGTGGCTGCGAGCAAGTGGTTCAACAGGAGGAGGAGTAGGAGGAGGAGGAGGAGGAGGAGGAGGAGGAGAAGTCCTGGATATTGCGACTGTGCAGCTCACTACTCCACCTCACCAGAATTTCCACAGCAGCGAGGCGAACGTGAAGCCGATGAGCGGGAGGCAGTTGAAGTCCAAGCGTGCGATATGTTCACCACATTGCATGTTGAACGGACTAAAGCGTCATTCCACTGATCATGTGCCTCCCCCTGGTATGCAGGATCAAGAAACAAGGGAAGCGATACTGAGTGCGCATCTGATGATGCAAGCCCCCCGTGGAAATACGTGCTGATAAAGTATAGCCCAATCCCTGGACTGCAGAAACCGAGAAAGCGTGTTTGCCACAGGCCCAGCAACATGTTGAACGATTATTTTTCTTAGCAGAAGCGGCTTCTTTCTGTTTGCATCCCTCGGGTCCTGGCCCCAGACTCGGATCCGGAGGTGGCGCCCGGCCTTGCTGCTCCATCGTCAGGCTAGGCCCGCGAGAGCGTCTTCCGAGAGCTCCGCTTGCTGTCTCGCCCGCTGACCGGTTGGCCGCCACGTCGGCGCTCCAGCAGCGTCCGCGAGCTGGTCGGGTATGGCCAGGACCCCAGGTAAGGGGACCCGGCCAGTAGTAGGGCCCTGGAGCACCTGCATTGGCCAGAATCACTAAACCAGGTTTGCCGTGGCTGGCGCTTTTTCGGGTGACGGCAGCTCCGGTTCGTGGAACGGGCGGGGGGGCGTCCCCCAGTACACCTCACTAAACCAGGTCCCACTAAGCCCAGTTCTGCCAACGCCCGAGCTGGGGATACGGCACCACCTCGCTCGGCGAGTCGGTGCGAGTGACGGGCAGGGGCTGAGCTCCGAGACGGCCGCGGGAAATCTCCTCGACGAGATGCGCTGCACCTTTAATGGCATGCTCGTCCTCCGTTGGCACCGTGGCACCCTCCTCCTTCTCCCTGGCTCCAGCAGCAGCGTCGGACGCAACTGCGCCGCTTGCGCCCATCCCTAGGGCAGTCACCCTCCGCAGGGGCTCAGATGGGGAATGGGCGGCTGCGCGCTCCTCGTCGTCGTCCTCCTCCTCCTCCTCCTCCTCCTCCTCCTTGACGGGCGGCACGATCTCTGGACATGGTGGAGGAACGGAGGCGGTGCCGACCGGCGCCACGATTGCTGCTCGCATGGCCCTGGGCGCCTGGGCCAGGGCGGCGCCGAGACGCGACGTCGACGGCCCACGGTGCCCCACAGCGCGTCCAGGGCGCTGAGGATGTACTGCACCGCACGGCCCTCGGGTCGGCGGCACTGGGCCCGCCGCTCCGCTGCTGTGCGGTTGGGGCGCCGACGGCGCTGCAGAGACATTCGGGCACCGGACATACGGCGATGCGAGGGCGGAGCGACGGGCTCCAGTGGTACTTGAGCAGGGGGAGGAGGAGGAGGAGGAGGAGGAGGAGGAGGAGGAGGAGGAGGAGGAGGAGGAGGAGGAGGAGGAGGAGGAGGAGGAGGAGGAGGAGGAGAAGGAGGAGGAGGAGGTGGGGCAGCTGCAGGCTGGCGGCTACGGCCACCCGGGCGGCTACGACCAATCAGGCGGCTACGCTGGCGGCTACGGCGGCCAGCCTGGCGGCTACGGCCAGCAGCAGCAGCCTGGCGGCTACGGCCAGCAGCAGCAGCCTGGCGGCTACGGCCAGCCAGCGCCGCAGGCCAGCCCAGACGGGCCTCTTCTTCTTCTTCTTCTTCTTCTTCTTCTTCTTTTTGCTTCTTCTTCTTCCTCCTATAACGGACGCCCCTTGTCCGCGCACGTGCCTCGGGCCGTGATGCGCTAACCCCTCTCTTCCTGCCCCCTTCCTCTCAGGCGCATCCGATGCCAGCCCGGAGTAGCTTCCTGCCTGGCTGCGTGCCCAGCCCTCCAACGTCTCGTGGCAAATCTTCTCCAGTGCAGACCCAGGAGGGGGTTACGGGACCGCTTCTTCTCCACCACCTCGGCCTTCTCCTCGTCGTCCTCCTCCTCCTTTTCCTCCTCCCTCCCCTCCTTAACCTCGATATCTTCCTCCTTCATCCCCCCACCCCCTCGTTCTGCTCCTCCTCCCCCCTCCTTATTCCTCTTTTCTTCTTCATCCGCCTTCCTCATAAATAACCCTTCCCTGTCTCGCGACGAGGCCGGTCAACGGGGCGGGCCGGGCGTTTCGCTTGAGACTTCGTCACCGCTTACGATCTTAAATTTTTAGATTTGTAACATTTTCAAGGATGGAGGGCGGGGCGATTTCAAATTCTTCACGCTTCGCGTATTCCCACCAGGTGTGGAGCATTCTGCTTAATGCATGTGCACATGCGCTTTCTTTGCGAATGATTACTGCAGGTGCGTTGCCTGTTGTAGCCAATTAGCTTCGCCTGCTGGCCCAGACGACGCCTTCCGCTCCCTGTCCGCCGCCTCGGAGCCGCCGACCAAAAAAAGTATTCCCACCAGGGTGACCCTGGATCCCTGCGGGGAATGGCGGATGCGGCGGATAAGGCCGTCCCTTGGTGGCCTTCGACTTACACCCCGCGGCTGCTGCCGTGCAGTTCCACCCTGGACGCCCCACCTTGCTGGCGATGTTCTTCCCCGCCAGCTTGGCCTCACGCAGCGCTTCCGCCGGCGCTTGCGCAGCCGTGCGTGGATGGCCCCCTACAGGATCGGTGGCTACTCATGTTGCGCGGTTTGACGGCCCGTGGAGGCGCTGCCAGCTCCGAGTGGCTCAGCCTTCGCAGTTTCGGCCGCCCTCCGGGCCGACCCCACCCCCGGCTTGGTATTTTATGTTTTTCGGCGGAGCAGCTCAGCTGGCGCGCACACGCCGTTGGCGCGGCTTGGGCTTGGCGCCCCAGTGGCGACGGCCCATCGCTTACCACGTCTGGCCGCCACAGCGCGTAACACTGAATTTCCTGGCATTTTGCCGCAGGGCTGCACGTTGCTCGAGCTTCCCTGGGCGTTCCAGTTTAGCCAGCCAGCCCCCCGCAGCCGCTGCCCCAGCTGCCGCGTTTGTGAGCTGGCCCGGCCGGCTCGTGCTGCGCTCAGTAGCTAATTCGGTTTGCCCGCCGGCCCGGACAACTTCTCTGGCCGCTTGCGCGCTCGCTGGTGGCCGCGACCAGAAAGTATTCCCACCAGCCCATCCAGAAACCCTGCCCTTCAGAGCTGACGGGGAAAGGGGCGAAGAGACACATCAAGGGAAACAACGGAGGAGGAGGAGGAGGAGGAGGAGAAAGAGCAGGAGGAGGAGGACGACGAGGAGGACGAGGACACGGATGAGGACGAGGACGAGGAGGACGAGGACTAGGATGAGGACGACGCGGACGAGGACTCATGGAACCGTCTAGAAGTATTCTTGCGGCTGCTGCTGCTGCTGCTGCTGCTGCGGGTGCTCCTTGGGAGTTTTGGAGGCCCTCTTGGAACCCTCTTGAGAACCCTGGAAGCTTCTTGGGATCATCTTGGAGGCCATCGATTACATGATGGGGGGTCCCCAACTCAGCCCCCCCCTTTCAGGAGCCAGCAAACTGCTTCTTGGGGCTCTGTTGGAGCGCTCTTGGGCGCTCTTGGGGCGGTCTTGGGGCCGTTTGGAGCATCTTGGGAGCTATCTCGAGCCAGCTTGGGCTATCTGAACCATCTTGGAGGTCATCTTGGGTTCTCTGAGACCGCTCGGGG